AAGTTTTTCATATTCTTTTAATTTTCATTTAACAATTCATATCTGCCTTAAATATTTTATTGCAACAGAATCTGATAAAAGAAACCGTTCGTTTGAAGAGTCCTCTTCTGAGTGTACTATTTCTAACGAACTTTCCCAACTTGATTCGATTTTGAGTATCTCCAGAGACAAATTGTTGTGGAATCCGACTCAAAAAATCTGCCACCTTATTCTCTTTCCCCTTTAGCATACATAACACGCCCTCTTTTCCTAAATCTACCACTTTTCGCCGTAAGTACGGTATTGACAACATATGTTGCTGTGTCCAATTTCAAGACGTTAAATGGTTCCACAGATAAGCGATATGAGAATTTCAGTTTGTATGGGAAGTCCCACGCCCACTTTCCCAGTACCTACCATTTTTCACTGTAAGTAGGGTATTTACATTATATGCATCTGTGCTAAGTTTCAGTTCCCGAGGGTAATTGGTTTTAGAGATATAGTGGTTTTTACGTTTTAGTCTATATGTCAGATGCCACGCCCCCTATGTATCGGGATAAACATTTCTGGATTAGAGGAAGTTATATCCTTTAAATCGGTGTATGTTTCATTGAAATCGAGCGAACGGTGCCTTCAAAAAAGGGATTGCAAAATTTTCTTGTGGCGTATTTATATATAGATGTCCGCGGCGAAATTATTATTTTCACGGATAATTAACGGCAAATTATCCGGTCGGAATTTTTACTTTGGGATAAAGTTGTCTTGCCAACTTCAAAGAGGTATGAGACGGATGATTATTTCGACGATTTTGGTGACTGCATGTTCTGGCTTTCTGGGTTTAACTTTTCATCTAATTATGAGCCATTTGAGAAAATATTAAGGAAGTGATATCCTACACTTATTTTTATGAGAACCAAATCGTGTCTCACAAAGCTGCACAATTTTCCGCTTTGTTCTTGAAACTTGAAAACAGGATTTGTTTTCTTTGATAATATTTGGTAATTTCGTGGTAAGTGCAATTTTAGCCAATTTTGAAATCTGTTCAATTCAATTTATGACATAAGTGTGGCGCATCGCAAAATTTGTGGCTTCTTTTCGTATTTCTTTGATGGCTCCACGGTCACCCAACATAACAGTTCATCCCTAAGTATCTATCGCAAGCCATTTCTTAACCTCTTAGCCGTACGCCTGTTCCCTGGTGGAACTAGGAGCTTCATAAGTTGACATCCTTCATGCTAAAATGTCTGGAAAGTTTGGTAGAGTTGCGCATTCGCAGGGAGGCGCTCTCATCCCATCCTCTGTCTTTGCATCAATCTGGTTGCCAGAATTAGCAATGCCATAAATAGGAAAGAATTCGCCTTGGTTACTTTCTGTGCTGGTAAATTGTATTCATTCAATCCTGGCGCAGTGGGTCATCAGGATTCATCAGGTAGAAGGAGGTCAATATGTCACTTGTGGAGTTAGCGAGGCTTGCTCTCAGGGTGGTGTGCTTTCCCCTCTGCTCTGGTGCCTAGTAATTGTTTCTCTTCTTGTCACTCTTAATGACTCTGATATCTACGCTCAAGCCTATACGGACGAAGTTACCTGTCTAGTAACGGGCTCATCTCTGCTGGCTGTTTACGGGAAAGCGCAGACAATACTGAATATGATTGACCGGTAACCCAGTCAAAATTAGAATTAATATTTTCTCGAGTCGAGAACTATGTCCCATTTTTGTTGAGATCGATATGATTCTCGATAGTTTTTTGAGTCTGTAGAGTAGTAAGTACTAAGTAATAAAATAATGCTTTATAAGCTAAGGATCTATTTTCACTCGGTTATCACAGAGTCGTTCTCTAACGTTTGAGATTGGAGAATGTGGCTAGTTCTCCAATCATTATCTAATCGACAACTAACCTCAATGCTGGGTTATTTATATTTATGTCAATTTGCGGTGTTTCTCTAATGGTTCTCGAATCGAATTCTAATGTAGTTCTGTAAGTTCGTCATCGACTCGAGAACGATTAGAGGATTACCCTAGTTATGTAATGTAGAAATCTAAATTTCTCTAACGTTAGAGACTGTGTTTATTGGGTATTTCCACTTGACAGCGTGAAATTTTTTTTATGCAAAATAATCTGAGTTCTACACTTTAGAAAAGCTTGGATATAAATTTAAATTCAAACTTTATTCACCTTTTAGTCAAACCTTGAGAAAAATACTGGAGAAAATTTTGTTTATCCACTCGAGAATCAAAAATGTCTCAAAGATTGGTAAAAAGTTGGAATAATATTGGCTTTGTGCATATTGCGAACATTTTCTACATACATATGAGCGATTCTCACAAACTTCGAATTTTTTGAGAAATTTATTTATTTTTTTTTGTAAATCGGGCACTTGTCTGACATTTTTAGTATAGGTTCCTTCAGCTGCTAGAATACAACGTGGTGCAGTGTTTTAAAGCAACGCACAATACGTTTTTAACGTTTTTTTTTGGGAGTGGAAAGTGGGCGTATTTTTAATCTGATTTCGAAGATTTTCAAAATATAGCTGTTTTATGCCAAGGTCAATAACTGCACTGAGTTTGGTAAAAATTGATAAATCAGTTACCGAGATACCGAGTGAACCAAATAAAATTTGGGACGCGACATTTTAGTAAGTTTTGCTCACTTTTCTTTACTTTATTTAACACTTATTATTTTTTTATGAAAGTATAGCTGATTACTTAACAAACACTACATAAATCTAAATTTCAGACTTTGTGCAAGAATTATGAAAACTCTGCAAAGTTTGACAAACATTTATAACTTCTTCATCAGCGTCTTTAGATAGAATTTTGGATTCGGTTTTGTAGCCAATCAAATTTTAGTAAAGCAAAGTGCAAATTTTAAGTATCTTGGATTTACCGTTGATTTTTGGCATTTATTTTTATGTTGACGGTGCTCCGAATTCCTTTCATACATAAAATTGTCGAACATAAGTTGCCAAAAATTAACGGTAACTCCTAGCATCTACAGCCCAAGATCTTTCATTTGACACCTCATTTTCGAAAATCGAACGATCGTTGTAGTTTTGATGGCATGGACAAAAAATGCCTCTGGGTGCTGTATATATGTACATATCTATATATTGAGGCGTATTCTGGTTTTCGTACGAATCGAAAATTTGAAGTTTTTCTATAGGAAATGATAAGAAAATTTCGAGATTTTCGATTCGTACGAAAACAAGAATACGCCCTATTGTTTTTGTTTTTTTGTAATTTTTATTTGAATGGGTTAGATTTAAAAGGATCTAGGTAGATCTGACAATATTGACATTGTTACCTTTTCGAAAGCGAAAAGTCATTGTCATTGACGCTATTTCCTCATTCAAATGGAAATAGCGTCAACAATGCTTAAAGTATGTCGATTCATAGAAAAAAATGTTGTTCTTACAATAAACATTGCCCCGTAAGTGTGGTTTTTTAATAGATGAAAATGGTTATTGCCAAATTCTCAGTGTGGTGCTATTAATCCACACACAATCATGAACTACCACCAATTGATTTTATTAAAAAATTTAAAATTACGAATATAGTCAAAACACGAAAAACCAATCGCAAAACGCAGCTGGAATACGATAAATATTTGAAGGAAGAGTGTAGAAATGATCCAGAACTTGCAAAACATGTTTCGTTTCCACAAAAATAAAGCGAACACTATTAAATTGAAGAAACAGCCCATGTCCAAAAACCCGGAGGAAATAATTCTATGTTTTAAATTAGCATACTTTGAAGGAATTCGGAATGCCTAAGGTGGAAAAGAAGCCAACCTTTCTATAAGGAAACAATTATAGAAAAGGAATTTTCTTACTGTATTCATGTCTCCGGNTAAAGCGAACACTATTAAATTGAAGAAACAGCCCATGTCCAAAAACCCGGAGGAAATAATTCTATGTTTTAAATTAGCATACTTTGAAGGAATTCGGAATGCCTAAGGTGGAAAAGAAGCCAACCTTTCTATAAGGAAACAATTATAGAAAAGGAATTTTCTTACTGTATTCATGTCTCCGGCAACAATTTGTGACATCATTTAAAAGCAGCTAAGGAGAACGACGACACTATTTATTAGATGGCATATTCAAGCCAATGTGCCAAAATGTGGGTATAAACAATTATTGATTATTTAATATCAGAACTGAGATCATATAAGTTAATTGATTGGTTTTTACACACGTTTGAAACACAAATTATATGCTTTTTTACTGCAGACGAGTTGTTGCCAAAACACAGCAGAAATCTTCAAATAACTTACAAATATAAAAATGCGAAATATCGAGGACTTAAATTCATTAATACGCTCTATCTGCAATTTGCACAACAACTAATTTGTGATTTTAGAAACCATCTGGGACTTATTACCTGTCATCAGAATCTCATCTTTGTGAAAAGTGTGCAGATAGAGGGTATTAGGCGGCGTAGCGTGACGTGGTGTGGCGCGCGGACGTGGGCCGCTGCGAAGCTAAGCAAATTTAATGTTTGAAAGAGCAATAATGTCAATGGATTTTATTTCGCTTTTGAAAAGGTAATAATGTCAATTGACTTTATTTCCCACCAGTTGCACTGACATTCGGTAAGTGTCTTATATTTAAAGTCGTTTCCTCGTACTAAATTTTTGACTTACCTGCAAGACATTTTTAAATTACTGTCTGTCAAACGCGCGACCGAGTAGAAAAATGATCTACTCTAGCGTTGCGAAGTGCTACCACTGGGCATACAATATTTGCAAAAAACTTGCGATCAAACAGTTGAGGTCACATTGCGAGTTGCTCCATATATTTACATGCATTTCTACTCATCTGTGAAGCGCGCGACCGACCGAACACTCAATTGCGACTCTGCTATATGTCTTTACTTTTTATAAAAAAAACATCATCTTAAGTATCTGTAAAATTTAAGAGAACTATACGTGCAAGAAGTTTGCTTTAAATTAACATTTTAAAAATATTTCGCAAGTAATATTTGTTATTATTAATGTAATTTATTTTATATTATTTCTTTGCAGTGTTCGTTGATGCTAACAGCGGGAAAATGACTGTGATACAAGATATCAAGCCAACAGAAGCTTGTGGAGCCGGCATAAATTGCTGCTCTACTGTTGCCAGTTCGGAAACCTCAATCGATAGGTCATCGGTTTGTGTGAAGCCGAATTGCACGAGTAATGTACTACACAAACAAAATAACTACGAAAATTGGGAAACGAATTTCGATCAGTGCAAAGAGATTGATATTGAATTCGAAAATGTGAAATATACAGTGCGAAAGTTTAATTTTCCTGAGAGAAAATTTGGTGAGTAATATTGTAAATACATACATACATACATATGAATATATGTACCTACACATCTAGTCGCTTATCAGCTTATTACAACTGGTTATAAACAACGAAATTCCAGAAAGAGATATCGTTCTTCTTTTGGTGCAAAGTACGAAGTAATATGTGAAATTTATATGCATATATACCTACTTATATATACGGCTCATTCCATCTCAAATCACCCAGGCCGGTGGAAAGTGAATTTAAGTTTGCGATAAAACTCACAGGGATTGTTCCTTGAACAATTTAAGGAGACACGTATTTTTTTTTTTTGCTCAGAAATGCGAATTTTTCGAATAATGAATTTTTTTCTTTTTGAGTACGAACGCTTATTTTTTCCTCTCTTAATAGCAACTTTTGATGAAATCGTTTATAACTGCCGCAAAAAAGCAAGGATTTTAACGATTTTTTTTTTTAAATTGCAGATATTGATCTACTGAATCGATCTAGTAAACTAAAAATCAGTAATTGTTTATTAATAATTAATTATTGTTTATAAACAAAATTTTTTTTTTTTCAAATTGATTTTTTTCAAATTGCCACATCTTTTTTTTCTCTCAAACTTTTTTGTCTATTAGGGAATAGTACTAACTATTTTCAGTACGAGTAGCAATATGCTAAAATTCGTCGTTTTCGAGTTATGATTTTTTTTCTGAAAATGCACTTATATGATGCTAGCAGATTTTCGTGCCAGTTGAGGGCACAAAAATTGTTGCCCATTATGATAAAGTTTCCTTGCTGGAAATTTTTTGAGGTTGCCCGATCAGAGCCAAAAGTTTTTCCCAATTGGGCTCTAATTTTGGCCCAATTGGGGCCCAATTAGCGATTTGCCCAATCTACCGAAGATTTCCCCAACCAGTGCTCACAATTTGCTCAAAGTGAACATGCATACGCAATTAAAACGTTTTTATCGATAAAATCACACATACACACATCAAAATTCCCTACGAAAAAAAAATTATTTTTTTCTATAAATTTTCCACATACAAATTTTTTGATAAAGAAAATTAGTTTTTGAAAATATGCCATTTCAAAAAAAAATTGGAAAAAATCACAATGGTAGCTCTGAGTATTGCGCAATATTTAAGTATAATGTTATGGGGTGCACTCTACAATAATTTGAGTTATGAATTTTTTTTACACCGAAGTTCAGTAAAATGAGTACATTACCAATTTACAAATTTTTTAATCTTTTTTAGAATTTTTTTGAATATGCAGTTTTATAGCCCATTAAATTTTAGTACAATAAAGTGCAAGCTTTAAGCGATTGGAAAACTGCCGTTAATTTTTTTTTTAATTTTCTTTGAAAACGGTTTTAGGCATTTTCATCGATAAGGAAAAAGTGCAAGAAGCCGTGAGCATAAACAATATTAAAAATCAACGCAATTTTGCAGTAGCTTAACACTACCACTTTATTATACTCAAATTTAATGGGCTACAAAATTGAATACTCAAAAAAATTCTAAACAAAATTAAATTTTTTTTAAATTGTATGTACTCATTTTACTCAACTTCGGTGTAAAAAAATTCATAGCCCAAATTATTGTAGAGTGCACCCCATAACATTATACTTAAATATTGCGCAATACTCAGAGCTACCATTGTGATTTTTTCCAATTTTTTTTTGAAATGGCATATTTTCAAAAACTAATTTTTTTTATCAAAAAATTTGTATGTGGAAAATTTATCAAGAAAAAAATTAAAAAATATTTTTTTTCGTAGGGAATTTTGATGTGTGTATGTGTGATTTTATCGATAAAAACGTTTTAATTGCGTATGCATGTTCACTTTGAGCAAATTGTGAGCACTGGTTGGGGAAATCTTCGGTAGATTGGGCAAATCGCTAATTGGGCCCAAATTGGGCCAAAATTAGAGCCCAATTGGGAAAAACTTTTGGCTCTGATCGGGCAACCTCAAAAAATTTCCAGCAAGGAAATTTTGTCATAATGGGCAACAATTTTTGTGCCCTCAACTGGCACGAAAATCTGCTAGCATCATATAAGTGCATTTTCAGAAAAAAAATCATAACTCGAAAATGATGAATTTTAGCATATTGCTACTCGTACTGAAAATAGTTTATACTATTCCCTAATAGACAAAAAAGTTTGATAGAAAAAAAGATGTGGCAATTTGAAAAAATTCAATTTGAAAAATTTTTTTTTTTGTTTATAAACAATAATTAATTATTAATAAACAATTACTGATGTTTAGTTCACTAGATCGATTCAGTAGATCAATATCTGCAACTTAAAAAAAAATCATTAAAATCCTTGCTTTGTTGCGGCAGTTATAAACGATTTCATCAAAAGTTGCTATTAAGAGAGGAAAAAATAAGCGTTCGTACTCAAAAAGAAAAAAATTCAGTATTCGAAAAGTTCGCATTTTTGAGCAAAAAGAAAAAATACGTGTCTCCTTAAATTGTTCAAGGAACAATCCCTGTGAGCTTTATCGCAAACTTAAATTCACTTTCCCCGGCCTGGGTGATTTGAGATGGAATAAGCCATACATATGTGTGTACATGAATATCTACATATAGGAATGTATGTATATACTAAGTATGTAGTCCTGGTAAGCACTGGTAAGCTTTGAGAACTGGTAATTTATTTAATTAGTACTTTTTAATATATGTACCTTTGATTGTGTCGCTAGATTTTGCTCAACTGTTTTGTGAAACCGCATTAATAAATTTTATGTACAATCTTTGTAAAGTTTCGAAGAAAACTAAAATTAACATTTACTGAAAGACAATGTTAATATCCTTTCACAGGTCCTGTGCCTTCTACTTGTCCAGTTGAGAAAAATATTTTCCTCCAATTTTTGCCTTTTTAAAGCCTTAAAACAAACCCAGATTTTTACACTCGGCACTGAACGTTCGTGTACCTTCGTACAGTGCGGCGAAGAACTCAGGATATATCAGACGTTAGCGAGCAACTTATGTAAAGCTTAGATTTGGTTAAGTGTGAGTCCTGAGGACTCATGATGGTGTTTTGTGCTCCATAAATTTTATCAAAGCTTTAATTATTATTTTACATTTTCTATCAGTATTGTTTGAATATGGCGTCCACATGTACATGATTTTAGAGTATTGACCCCATAAGCAGCGTTGCCAGGTTGATGTTTTTGACGTCATTTGGACGTTTTTTGTATCCTGTTGACGTTTGGACGCTTTTTGTGTAAAAAATTATGTTTTTTAACTTTCCAGTAATTTTTCACTGTTACTAAATCTTGTAAGTAGAACTGACTTTGAATTATTTTCTTAATAACTCTTTACAAACTTTGTTTTTTGCAGCAGCTGCTTCAAAAAATATGTATTCTTTGGACACAGGTGAATTAACCCGCATAAAGAAAATAACACAATTAGTCGCATGGGGCCCCTTATTGAAAGTGTAATGAACGTAAAATGGCTGAAATATTGCTATGTTCCTTCTTAACAGAACGTAATTTAGCATTTTCGACAACAGACCACTTAACCAAATGTTTACAAGAAGAAAAAAAATATATATATTAAAAATCAACGCGATTCTTTAGCACCTTAAAACTTGCACATTATTGCCCTGGAATTAAATTCAAAAAAATTCTGAAAAATCTAAATAAAAAGTTGAAAATCTGGCTGATATTTTGCAGATTTTTTATAATTTTTGCACAAAGTTTGAAATGTGGATTTATATTTTGTTTGTTATATAATGAGCTAGGCTTTTATGGAAAAATAATAAACATTAAATAAACAAAAAAGAAACAGCCGAAATCGATGACTTAATCAGCTGATCACAAGTGTATGTATGAAATGATTTTTATATTAACGATCTCAAACCAGTTTAGAATGAATTTTAAATGTGACAGCAAATGACATTTCAATATACCTTACGTACATATGTTCCTTTGTATACAATGAAAGTTTAATAAGAACAATTCTTTGTGCATACATTTGAAAGAGACGTTTTGGGTAGGAAATGACGTTTTTTCAGACCAAGAGGGACGTTTTCTCATGCCGAAGACCTGGCAACACTGCCCATAAGTGACTCTGCAGAAAACGTAATAAGAAAAAGGCTCGAAGAAGATGAAAATGGAAATGATTTACAAGACGATCTCTCGGATTGCGCGGGACTTTTTCGTGATTGTATTTCTGAAGTATATTCCGACGATGTGGATGCCGATTTTATACCAAGTGACCATAGCACCGCCGCAGAATGCTCCGATAGTGATAACCAATACGGGAAGCTTACATTCTCTGCGTTTGTAAAATACCATTTTTGTCTTACATATACCAGAAATGTATATGGGTAGAGAGCTTCAGGGCAGTGACTTTACCTGCTGCACGTTTCGTTATTTTGTACGATGAGTAAAAATTTTAATTTTTAATTCTGATCACCTACATATCGTCGTTTAAAGTACAAAACCGCGTATCGTCATTCTGCAAAACCGCGTAACTGACATTGGCTGCCAAAAATTGGATTTGCTCACACAATCTATATATCCTCCTGAAATAGATCGTCCTGAAATATACTAGCCAGAAATGCGATTGCTTTATAAAAAAGAAAACCATTTTGAAATATGAGTGTTTTTACACTCTAGAAAATAATTTCTACAACTTCACACACGCGGTTTTGTATTTTGCTGATACGCGGTTTTGTATTTTGTTGATACGCGGTTTTGCACTTTAAACGACGATATGTTACGTTTAAATGTAAGAAGTTTTCGTTTTGCTATTTTTTCCATTTTCTTTCATTAGACTTAAAGTCTTAATTTTTTAGCTTCTCCACGTTAGCAGGAAAGTGACGTTTAAGCTTTATTAATTCTTTGATTATTTTCTGTTGAAAGAGCTTAAAATCTGCCTTTAAGTAGAAAGAAATAATTTAAATAATTAATGTCTTTTGTATTTTTTGAGAATATAAAATGTGAGTCCTGAGGACTCAGGGTGGTGGTTTAACAAATTTTTGTTAGGGGGTGCGATTAAAGGTTAAAGTTTTTGTTGAGTCCCGTGGACTCAGGCAGTGTGATTAAGGGTTAAAGGAAGCTTAGATTGGGAAACAAAGCTGGAGATTGTACAAATACTTTGTAGTAGTTCTTGAATAAACTTGACGTCAATTGTTGAATGCAGTTAATTAATTAGGTAATAATTTGGTATAGCAAAACAGGGGGGGACGCTTTCCGCTTTGAACACGCCGTTAAAAAACGCTCAAATTACTTTGATAGACGATTTCCATATTTTAATACCCAGTAATAATTTAGGAGCGTGCATTCCTTCTTCCATCTTTTCTATTTTTTATGGAGCGGTACAAATTGAAGGGCTTTTGTAGGGCAAACTTCAGAAAGCATTTCGGAGGAGTACTTCTTAGACTGCTTTTTCGACATAACTTCCACGAGGCCGTGACATAAGTTCCATCGATATATTTTTGGTCCAAGGAAGTAAACTCAGACATTACTTCAAAGATCTGTTTCGTGGAAGATATGTCAGAAATAAGTTCCATGATAATTTTGTATTAAATAAGCCGCTCACCGCACAAATTGACTAAGTCCACTTTTTGAAAAATCTTAAATTTAAATATGTTCTTTTTTTAGAAAATTTTGAATGTGCATCACTTCCGCTTTACAGCTTCCTATTAACCGGCTTTTCTTCCGTTTTCTTTCGCTTCTAACCTCTGAAGATGGTGTTAATTCTATCAAATTTTCCCCAGTTATGAATGATTGTTATCAGCCGCGACTCAAGAAAAGAAGACAAACTATTTGGCGGTATTCTGACATCTATAAAGCCTCTATTTTATTGTTAAAGGATCAAATAAGTATTGAGTATTTTGTTATGAAAAGTGGTTTTAGAGAAGGCTACCGAGCCGACTTCTTTAGGAAATGAAGACAAAGACGAATTCGACAATGAAATTGAGGAGGAATTGAATGATGACTTAATCTAATTTTCCAGGTAAATTGGAATGTAAACACTTCCGACGAGCCTCAAGAAGTCTCAAAATGTGCATCAATTGTAAAATAAGCCCGCGCTCGGTGGTCATTTAATCTTTTGTGAATTCTGTCACAATCCTCCAAAGATTAAAATATCCACAAAAGCCAAGTAAATATTCAAAGTCTTGTTTGAATGAGAATATTATTTATCCTCTCTGGCGAACAAATTTTTGCGGAACTAAGTCATGATATAACTTACATGAGATTTTCCTGGAAATTTCCTTTAATGGAGTTGAATGGCATCTTTTGTTTGCGTTGATTGAATCATTGCCATTTTTAATTCGAAAAGATAGCACAACATCGATAGGAGCTTGTTTACAATCCAAACCTGACAATTCGTTCCAAAATACACTATCAGGTTTGAAATGGAACGACATACATACTTATTTATGTATTGTATGTACAATTGTACTTTTTCAGATTTTTTCAGGTTTCACGGTAAAGTCGATACAAATTTACCATTTCAGGATCTTACGTTTATAATATATGTAGCAAAATTAATTTTCTAAGAATTCTTGCATTTTTTATTGACATTTCATAAAATCGCTCACACGAAACCAACAAACTTCGTCACTCGCCTTTTTCCTTTCCAAAGTTTTTTGTGGAAGACCATCTGCATATTTTGTTCTTTATTCTGCGCTTGATTAAAGGCTGGCATTAATTGTTTATGCTGAGTTCTATGTGCATACATGATTAAAGAAAGTCATTCCCAACTTAAATAAAAGTCGTACTTTGATGTAGAGATGGGTCCGGGCCGGGCTTTTGGTATGGGCTCGGCGGGTACGGGTCGGGAAAATTTTACTTGGGCACGAGCTCGCGCGTGCACTGGTGTGGAGTGAATATTCGGTTAGGAAACCACCCCCTCCCAGAAATGGGTTGTGCGCTGGGTTTGAATAATAATAATAAATTGGCGCTTACACATATGTTAGTGTTTGGCCGAGCTTCTCCTCCGACTTGTGGCGTGCGCCTTGATGTTGTATGTATTTTTATGAGAAGCTATTTTTCAAGGCAGAAATACACTCGGAGGTTTGCCATTGCTTGCCGAGGGACGACCGCTGTTAAGAAAAAACCTTTTTCTATATTTTTTGCGATGTTGCTTAGACCAGGGCTTGAACCCAGGTGCTGATGAGTGAAAGCGCGCACTGCTTACCACTACACCACAGCGGCCTTATAAGAAGCTACATAACCCCAAGTAAAAAAATTGGCTTTATGTCTCTGTATAAGGAGTGACATAATTCCACATTTTAAAATTGGAGTTATGTGCTGGTACCCATTTAATGACTGGGCCCACAGTTTGTGTGAGGTTTGGCCGTTATAGCGATCCATCACTCCCCATATTTTATATTTAAGGTTTTCTAATAAAAGGAAGAGTACAAACTAAATTTCATCGAAATCGGATGAAATTTAAGCCAACTTTTTCTTCACTTCTTCACTTCTTATAAGGTGTCATAATCCCAATTGGGATAGTGTCACTTTTGATCCTAAAGCATAATTTCCAGCTTTCAAGAAAAACAAAAAAATCATATATAAACACGCCCACTAAATGAATAAGAAATTTTCTATTAAACTTTCATCTACGCAAAAATACTTACTTCCGCCGCTCTTTTCTGGAAACACAGAAAGGAGAATTCTATTTAGTGAGGGTTATAATTCTTAAGCGCAGCCGAAGGCCTCCTACGCAGAAAGAAGTTCAGCACAAAAATACTTCCGCCCCTCTTTTCCGGCAACACAGAAAGGAGAACTATATTTAGTGAGGGTTATAATTCCTAAGCGCGGACGAAGGCCGCCTACGCAGAAAGAAGTTCAGCGCAAAAATACTTCCGCCCTTCTTTTGCGGCAACACAGAACGGATAATTCTATTTAGTAAGGGTAACAATTCCTAAGCGCGGCCGAAGTCCGCTTACGCAGAAAGAAGTTCAGCGCAAAAAGTCGCACGAAAAGATCCAATTATAAATTCTAAAACTAAATAATAAAATCATGCGTCTAATTTCAAGACCCGACGGACCGGTACTCACACTTTTTTTTTACTAATAATCATTAACATCTACATTTCAAGGTGTATTGTTTGATAAAAAGTAGGAAAATACCAAATAAATGACATTTAGCTTCACCTGAATATTCCACGACACTTAAATAATTAATTACAGTTGAAAAAAGAACACTTGCTTTAATGGGTTCATCGCCAAAGGCAATTAAATTGATTAGTCGGTACCGCACCAGTATTTTTTATTTTTTTTAATGTACAGTTCGTGGATAGGAGATGAGTAAATGATGTGAATGTTTGAATTTATGACTTTCACTTTTCCCTCTCTAAGCCCAATTGGGTTTTTATTAACTGTCACCATGTCACATAATTGAAACACTGTGCGACGCCCCTTTTCGATACTTTTATATTTCATATTATTTTACTTTTCGCAATTTTCTATTTTTAAAGTACTTAGTTAAGTATTGCACACAAATTTGTTTAATTACATACAATCTTGTTAACCGTTTTCTTACTTGATTTAATCATTTTAGTTACAAAGGAGATTTTACATGGCATCAATGGCGCCTTCCGTGCTGGAGAACTAACCGCCATAATGGGTCCGTCAGGCTCTGGAAAGAGTACACTACTCAACGTAATGACAGGCTTCAGGTATGAATTTATGAAGCTTCATACTTATTTCATTAGGGTGGTCCAAACTAAGTAAAGCTGGAATTTGTATGCTCTCACCGCCTAAGACTGGTTTATACCGAAACATTTTTCTATTTTGAAATCCAAAAATATTTAGAAGTCGCTCAAAGCGCTCAAACTTTTCCACGTATTTTATGTCAGAAAAACCACTTTTCGTAAAAATGGTATAGAATTTTTGAAATGATTGTTTTTCGACCGGAACACTGAGATTTTCTTCACGAGACTTCCAATAACAATTTTTATTTATCCCTCATTGCATCTTCTGGCATTTTCTTAGGGGTTTGGCGGATCTGTAAAATATAGTTACTATGAAGAAAATGGTTAAATAAATAATTGGGTATTATTATTGGAAATCTCCTGTTTTTTTTTTCTCATGTAAAGTACATGGAAAACTTGGAGCGACTTCTAAATATTTTTTGATTTCAAGATAAAAAATAGGGTTATATTTTTTCGGTATAGAACAATCCTAGGGGGTGGGAGCATAAAAATTCCGACTTTACTTTTTAACTTGCATTTTTGCACCACCCTTATGTATGTACATATGCACATATTCACATTTGTATGCAAAATTTAAATAACATAAAATTTTTTTTCTTAATTGATATGCAAAACCTTTTATGTTAACTGATATTTATAAAGTGTAAGTGCAATAGCTGTTTACACTTAAATTGTCGCTATGTGCACTAAGCAACATTTCATTAAAAATTGTAAGTATAAATTACAAGAAATGTCGGTATGGTATAGAAAAGTTTGAGGATACGGTACTTTGCGTTAAAGACTCAATATTTTAATTGTAAGTAGTGCCATACAGTCGGTAAGGTTATAACACAAATGGAGGAACCTACAATTTTACGTCGTCTCCGAATGAAAGCTTTTTCAAATACACTCGGAGGTTTGCCATTGCCTGCCAAGGGGCGATCGCTGTTAAAAAAAGTGCTTTTTCTAAAAGTGCCGTTAGTGCCAAATAATTTTTAAGATATACATAACTACACATACATACATATCGCTAGCTTAGAGTGAAAAGTTGCTAAGCTCATTTTTAAGAATTTTACAGGAGAGGGAAAAATTTACTACAGCAATTTTCTTTAAGTATTTTGCAAGACATCGAATACAACATTTTGCGCGTTTAGAGAAAAGCAAAACTCCATGCGAACCAGAAGGTTTCGCCGTTATTTTAAAGATTTTTTATTACATTAGCCTGCCTGGAAAAAAACAAGTACCTCAATTAATTTGGAAATGCTTCCTTTATTAAAATATGAGTTCTCACAAAAAGTGGACTCAGCAACTTTTCAACCTAGCGATATCGAACCCATAACATTACTCACTAACTACCTAAAAGAATTTAAAAACAATTAAATCATTAAACTAGTTTCAGTGTTTATTAAAACACTATTTCTAAAGAAATTTTTAATTGAAGAGCTTGTTTGTATAAAGTTTTATAAATATGCTGTGAAGAAATAAAAATATTAGATAGGGCCTTTCTATATGTATATCAAAATAAATTAATTGTAATTTAAACTTAACAAGTAAGAAAGTCTAAGCAAGCATCAATTTTGAATAAATTAGCTTTAATATTTACGGATTTATCGAAGATTNCATTTATGTATACATTTGTCTATATCTATCTCGATTCGTTTTGGCTGTTACAAACAACCGTTATGTGAACAAAATTAATATACCCTTGTGCACAAGTGCGCTCGGGTATAAAAATACATATGTACGTATAATTTTGATTTTTGTTGACCAGTGTCATCATTTCCATTCTACCTTTTACTCTCAATAATAAAAAAAGCTCCCAACAAGTTAATGCACTTATAAAGACATTAACATTTATGTACATACACATGTATTTTAATGGAAATATATAATTTTATTGATTACTTAGTAAAGTGGAAGAGGCGATTTGGAATTCAATTACAATTATTATGAGAACAAAGTATTACAAGCAAAGTGTTTTTAATGGTCACTAGCCTTTGTTTACGATTCATTAACTTTTATGAGCAAGGAAATTGACTAATATCAAATATTGTGTTTTTTGACAAATTTTCAAATTTTTCAGAAACATCGTCATTGGTACAATAATATTTGCCCTGCAAGCTCACTTGCGAAACAAGTTTGAAGATTTGAAAAGTTACCTTAAAAGGACTAACGTGTTAGCCACGACCTAAAAGCAGAGAAAGTCGTCGATTGTTTCTTTACTTATAACCTGATTTCTTAGTGGTATTACACTGGATATTTTTCTATTGATACACACTTTCAGTACCCGGATATTTACCTAATTGCGGGTATGAACACATTTGAATAACGAATAATCTGATACGCCGGATCTAAATAGCCAAATTTGCTAGACCCTAGATATGGATCCGTCTGAAGAGTTAGAGCATTAAAATTTATTCATACAGAAACTGAACAAGAACATGATGTCAGATTTTGTCAATTACAGTCCTAAAGATGGTTTCTGGGGAAGAAATTTTGTCTGGTCCTCTTTATCTCAGTAGCTTGATTGAAAAGAAATTGTGGCAGCAAAAAGGAAATTAGCTGTTAGCTTAATGCACTTCAGATGGTAATAAAAGTTCATTTAGCGGCCACAGCTTCACTCACCGAACAGAAAGGGCAGGAATAATAGCTTAAGTACATACATACATACGTATACTGAAAATAAAATTTCGTAAAAGTGCTACGAAAATCTTTCGTAGTGTTGGTTTTTGTACAATGCACGAAACTTTCGTTCATAATACGAACACATTTTTCACAACGAAACAAGATTTTACGAACCATACATAAATATAACGTAAGGACTTTCGTAAGGCATTTTTTCAGTACAATTTACGAAATCTTGCGTTTCTTTTACGAAACACATTCGTAAAGCACTGAACAAATCTCTGTACGAATAATTTTGTATATCGTAGGAAGGTATTCGTAAGATTTACGTATGGTTTTAAATTTACGAAATCTACAATTCTGTATTCGTACAATTTAGTTAATAATTTCGTATAAAGTACTAATGCAGAAACATGTTTTTTAAATTCGTACAACATACGTATATTTTCGTACAATATACTCAATTACCGGCAGTTTAATATTTCATCATATTTTTTGTATCGCGTGTCATTGCGGAATTAATTGTTGGCTGCTGTGAAACGTATAATATAATTTTAAACGTTTTAAAAAGGGATTTGCTGGATAAAAAAACAATACAAAATTCAATATTAAAGCTGTGGATATACTATGCTTTTAAGCATACAATGTTTTTAACATCGCCTACGCTGCGCCTTGCGCTGCAATGTGGGACTTGATAAATAGGCAATTTCATCAGTTACCTATCAACGGCAAGCCTAAGCCAGGAGCACTACTTAATGAAATTAAAAGTAGGTACATGTATGACTTTTCACTGAAACTTGCTTTTTAGACGCCTTATAATTTTCCTTTAATTTATAGTCGTCAAGGAAACAAACATCAATGAAGCTGAGAATCTGTCAAGTGCCTCTACATAAAAATATTATAATGTTTAAGAAAGTAAAACCAGTATTTTTTATATTCTTTCATATTTTATATCTTATTTTATATTTAGTTTTGTTGAGTCTCATAGTTTAACACTTTGCATCAATATACTTTATCGAATGAAGCCTAAGCAATAAAAAAATACGTAGTATAGAACCTATTCGTATGCATANTTTTTTACAGTGTGGAGAATGAAAGCAAAATCGCACATTCTACGAAACAAGCGCAGATTTTACGAAAGTAATTTCGTTAAATATACGAATTATCTCTGTGCATTTTACAAAAATTTCGTTAAAAAATAAATAAATAGTACGAATTTTTTTAGTAAATAGTACGAAATTCGTTAGTAAATAGTACGAAATTCTTTAGTAAATATTACTAAATTCTTTAGTAAATAGTACGAATACATTCGTAAAATGTACTAAAAATCTGATGCCTCATATTTTCGTAGTATGTACGAAAACGGTTTTGTGCAATCCACGAAAACTTTCGTGGCTCAAAATGACGAAAAATTTCGTAAGATTTACGCAAGTTTTCGTTATATTTACGCAGATTTTATTATCAGTGTAGGTATTTGTGTATATGAGGAAAAAATAAATATTTCCACTATAGATTACCTAGCTGAAGGAGCAAAAAAGGCAAGTACACAAACCCAAATTGTACTAAAAATATCATTATTTGTCGCGGAGTTCAGAGTTGGAGTAGTTTTAAGAAATACATATATTAAATACGTATGGTTTGAAGTGTACATAATAGTTTTGCAGATGTTGTTTATATTGAAGATAATAATAAACCAAAAAAACTAACCTTTTGATTAGACAAACCCCATATATCCTGCACTGGAATTTGTTTTAGATCAAGTAATCTTTAAGCAAAAGACAAAACCGGTTTCAATTCTCATATAAAAATTTAAGATTATCTTTAATTTCTTCATGATGAGATGATAGTATTTAAGCCTGTGAGGTAACTTCTTTCATTTAAAAAAGAATTATAGAAATCGGTTAACGTGGTTCAAAGTTATGCGGAAATATACAAAAAAAAAATATTTCGACGAATTGATAACCTTTATCCTTTTTGTGAAGTCGGTTAAAAATAGTTCACCACCTTCAGCGGAAAGGTCGCACTCCTCATGAAAACTACTTACGTTGTTCACTAGAAGGTATGGAGGATGCACACTATCCGATGTAATCTGGTATTGGATACTGATAGCAGGAGGGATTATGGCTGAATTCATGTTTTGTCACATCTATCATTAAAACTCGTAATTCGCATAAAAATTTGCGGTACTGGTTTCTATCTGAAATTAATGTCGTATAACATTTTAGAGAGGATGACCTTCAAAAAAAAAAAACGCCGATACAGGTTAACTTAATTTTAGATCGTGGATTACGGATCTGTATATTTAATGTATTTCTAGATTGGGTAATTTTTCTAAGATATTTCCATTTTAAGTTTGTGAA